AGTATCTGTTCCAAGATGTTCAAAGCCTCATCACTATTCACTTGTAGCATGAAGGGCTGTGCGGGCCACAGGGCAGGCCAGCCGGGTTGTCCCTCCAGAAACTGTCGAACCTGCTCTTAAAGCTGTTTACAGATGTTGCTGTGACGACCGACTCAGGCAGACTATTCCACATGTTAATTACTTGCTGTGAAAAGAAGTTGCTCCGTATGCTGAGTCAACATCTGCTTTTTGTGAGCTCAAGAGAGTGGCTTCTAGTATCCCTGTTGCTTGATAACTGGAAGTCTGGAACTTAGGCTTTAACACCCTGTACAGTCCATGTGCATACTTTTATGTATAGATAAGGTCACCCCACAGGCGCCTATGCTCAAAGCACGGGAGATGCAACGCTTCTAGCCTCGCGGAGTATGGCAAATCTCTGATCGAAAAGAGGAGCTTGGTGCCCCGTCTCTGAACGTCTTCAATGTCAGCCCATAGTCTTGTGAAACAGCTGTCAGGTAGGATGTCCATTTTCAACTATGAGCCTCACGAGGCTCTTTTAAAGCTGAACAAACAAATCTTTTTTGAGGAAGTCAAAATTATGCCAAAATTACAAAGTCCATCTATGTGTTATCCCAAATCTCTAATTTTACCCTGAAACAAGTTGAACATTGAACCTAACATTTGGCTTCACTTAAGTAGCAACTGAACACATGATAATGCAGTCTGACCACTCTGACATGACTGCAGCTATGTAATCTTGGTAACATCTGTAATCTTCAAGGAAACATTTTGCATTGACTTGTTATTACATTTTGCAGGATATTTTGGTGGGAACATTCAAGTAATGTGGATTGGGCTATCATTGTGGAAGTTGAAAATTTTATGAAACGACATGTTTGCAAAGTTGCAAACTGCAATTTTCCAATCTAACAAAAATACATGACATTAGAGCTGCAAGATTTCATGCCTACTGAAATTCTATGATATTAAAACTGGGATATTTAAAAAAATATAACTCAGTACTCACTGCAGTGAGTGACAGAGAGTGCATTTTCTCGTTGACGAAAACTTGAGGTCACGGACAGACAGACAGACGGACGGACGGACATGGCGAGCACAATAGTGCATTTTTTCCATAAATGAGAAAATGCACTAAAAAGTTAGACTTTTCCAGCCCTGGATGTGTGTCGGTGTTTGTCAGAAGACCTATGGGATTTTGCGCTCATAGGTGGATTGTTCCTGAGCGCCCCACTGCTGAGCTTGCGGTGCCTGACTGTGGGCTTCAATTGTGGGGTCAAGTTATTATTTTTATTCTCTTACTCGTGCAGGAAGCCAACATCCCGTGTAAATGATCTCTTGTATTGTACAAGTGTCTTAGTTTCTGTTGCTCTTCACCTGTCCCTCCTTGTCACTTTGTCTCTTTGAGATGCTTACGCTGCTTCTTTCAAGCCAGCTTCAGCAGGCTGGACAATTGAGACCTTCCGCCCCTTGTGATTGATGATTAATCTGAGATTCTGAATAATTGAGATCTTTGCCTTGCTGGGGATGTTATATTTTGACCTCCTGTGCAAAATAGCTTGATAGCTGAAGTGCCAGCAAACCATTATGCTACTAATACCACAGTACATTTTTTTGTTACCTTATTGTTTATTTATCCTCATTTTTTAACAATCCTGATCATAACAGAATATACAATGTACATGTAATATTTTAGCTGTGTGCCTGATGTTCCTTATGAGTGACACATATAGGTATAAGTTATATTATTGAGTATTGACTTCTGGTGATGACATGTTAAATATTGTTATTAATGTTAAATGTTTTAGGACATGTTAAATATTTTTTAATGATGCAATGAAATTTGACAAATGGTATAGATATGGTGCTATTGCATTGCTAATGACACAAAAACCATTAAATAAAATTATTTCTTCATAACTTTGTATTTCAGGCAGTGGAGGGTTAAACATTAAAGGAAATGTAAAACAACATGAGTTTTTTGGATATTGGAACTATTAGCCATGATAGAGAAATGCTACATACTCACACCCAAGCCTGAAGTACATTTACTTTTTGAACCACAACTAGAGCTTTCCTGTTATTTGTGGAGCTGATGATTCCCACTAGATTAGTTATGTTATATCTAATTGTTAATAAAATTGTGTGATCAGATGAAATTCATGGTAGAATTCAAATCTTACAGAATATAATTTAAATGCTCAAAATGTGAAAGCATAAAATATTAAGTATGGAAGCTTTAACTGCATTACTCTTAATATTATTGCATAACTTGTCCCAGGTCATATTGGTCATGCTTGTCTTAGAGTAAGAAATAGTGCTGCTTAACAAGGACCTGTTATTTGCCTCTGACCAGCAAAGTTTTCCTGTGCTGAATCATGCCATAAAGGTACTTTTTCTTCACAATTTACCAGATGAGCAGGTACCTCTGCCGCAGCATGTCTAGCACAGCTCGCCAGGCACCTGAGATTAGTCTGTCTCTGACTTTCAAGCAGACATGGCAATGCTACTTCAGCCTGCCACTGTAGTGCAGCTTAATGTTCAACAGCCTGACTTGCAGAGTTTACACTTCTACCAATTAGATGCCTATATTTTTTTGTCAACAAAGAAAGCATCACAGTTTCATTCTGCTCATTTTTTCTTAATTTTATTTATTTAAGTCTTTAAATTCATGTTAGAATTTAAATAAAAAAAACATCTGAATGATTATAATGGAAAGCTTCTTGATAGAATTAAACTACTTTTTTAGTATAAAATTATATTTCATCAAATGATGTCAGGTACATTACGCAATGCTTTTAACACCCATCACACATTAGTAAATTCCACCTCTATAATACTATGAACACTTACTGCTTGCTAATCAAGGCAAGATAAAAAAGTGAATACTTATTTTAAAATTTTATAGATTGGTTCTAAATTGATCATTTTTTCAAAAGACTAATTTTGGAAACAATATGGTGTCTGTTGCTTTAGAATTAAACTTCCACTTGTTTATTAAAGTAGATATTTAAAAATTTGGTCAATTCTATTCCTAATTTATGGCAATTGCATTAAGGAGAGCGTCTACCCTAAAAAGTAGAAATTTTTGGCTTCTCAGGTTTTTAAGCTCATCTTAAAGCTTACTTTCTGCCGCATCGAACGGTACTAGAACCATCTCTGTACTTGATTTATGCTTTCAGGACAGATCCCAACAGGGGGTAGGGTGGTGGGGTCCCTTCACAAAAGTCTATGGGGATAATTAGCCCCGTGATAGCCATATAAAATGGCTATCACTGGACCTGCAGCTCAGTTATCACTCAGCCATCATGCGGAAAGGTGTTGATGTAGTAGTCCTATGCACCGCTGACTGACTTTGAAGTGAGATAATGCTTACTTCCAGTATCTAAGCTACGTTTACATGCCTTTACATAGCATGCCGCGGTTTTTTGTCTCTACTGAAAAGTTTGAAAACATGAAAACCTCTCTCACAGCAAACCTATCTCCTCCTAGAGTTTTGAAGCTACATCAATGAGACATATACCGTTTGATTTGCAAAGAAAAGATCTACAAACTGGTTGTGGGCTTTTTTCCAAGTTTGTTATAGTTCTGATTTTATTTTGCAATAATATACTTTTAAAAATTACTTTTCAAAGACAACACTTCTAAAGAATCCAGTGTCTCCAATGTTAAAAATGTACAATGAATTTCTCATTTTATTTTTGAATATTAAAAAAATTAATTTTTCAATTTTTTTAAATATAATTTTTTTCGAAATTATTTATTCTGTCAATTGATTCATGCACTGCCTCCGACTTCTCACAAGTGTGCAACAGGTAAAAGTGTGCAAATATCAATTATAAGATTTGTAGCTGACGAAATTATTTTTTCAATTTTTTAGTAATAAAAAAAAATTATTTTTTAAATCATTTATTTTGTCATTGGATTCTTGCATTGTCAAAAACTTTGGGCAAGTGTGCAAAATTTCAGATCGATAGGATAAGTAGAAGTGTGTTAAATTTTGATTATAAGATTTGTAGCAGACAGACAGACAAACAAACAAGAAGTGAAGTTAAAGAGAAGTGTTGTAAAAAGGGGGGAAAGTGGAGGTAAAATAAAAAATTTCTAAGAATTTTGGACAAAATGCTCCCACACCCACAAAAATGAGAAATTAAAAAAAAAACACAACCAGTTTGTAGATATGGTCTTTACACATCGAATGATATGTGTTTCAATGTTGTAGCTTGAAAATCCTAGGAGGAGATAGGTTTTCTAAAGTACCCCATTTTGGCCGTTTCCTAAGAATTCCATGTTTTCTGTCAATTTTTTTCAAAAAATTTACATGAATAAAACTGAGTTTTTTTAAGGTTTACACATGTGTACCAAATTTCAAATTGATCCCTCTGTAAATTACTTAAATAAAATTTAGGGTAGATGCTCCCCTTAACACGTTGACTACGATTGCTTCATTGTGTACTATTATTTCATTTTTTGTACTTTTTTTTAGCGGGGTTGCCAGACAGTCATTTTTTCCGGATAAATTCCGTGATTTAGTTTTTCTCAATTGCGTTGGCCGGCTAAAATTTATAATAGGGGTACTACCTAATTAAGTTTTAAATACTGAAAAAATAAAATAAATTGAATTTTTATAGCGGAACCTACAAATAAACTAGTATATATACATTGAATTATTGCCCTTTCTGCCTTTTTTGTTCTAAGATTTGGCCGATTTTGGGCAACCTGAATTATGTACCACTACCTCCTGGAGAAATACATTTCGTTGTACGCATATGTACCAATACGTAGTCAACGTGTTAAGGATGGCAAATTTGTTGTAATGGAACCATAATGTGATCAATGATACCTTACTTGTAGTAATTACTGCTCAAACTTTTGACATTAGTTATACTTATATCAGTTGACTGTATTGAAGATGTAAATTTTAATGCTTTTAACTTCATGTCATTTTCACTGGTATTTTATTGCTGAACAGACTAATAAGTAATAATTAGATAAATTGTATTCATTTCAGGTTAACTGTTTAATTTATGTTTCTTTTATGACTATTATTTCAGAATTTGAGAATTTAATATATACTCTAGAGACTAACATGTCTGATATAGAAGAAGATCCTGCATCTATTGAAGAGTATAATAACTTTCTGACTTCTTTGCATCGGGTGCGCATGAAAAAGTTGGGACCTGAGAGAATGATAGCTAATCACACAGCGGCTGTAAACCATGCTGCCCCCAGAGTTTATCGTAAGAAAATTTTGCAATGGATTTGAAAACAATTTTATTGTGTGATTGTTTGCTGTTATTTTGTATTGCTCATAAATATTAAAAATTATTTTTCTCACTTGATTTCTATTTTATTGCCAATTTGATTATGATATCAGTTAAGAATTATACATTTAATTTTTCATTGACTTATAATAACCATGGATTTTTTATTAGTATCTCTTTTATTCTAGTGGAAAAAGAAATAAAAGCTGCCTGCAGTTCAGTCCACACACATTCCAAGAAGAACAATACTGAACAATATGAGAAAGGCATCACTGACCTGCAGATGTGTATTAACAATGCAACTGCTGTTCAGACTGCTATCAACAACCTCTACATCAAGGCACAGGTCTGTACTGAAGTATTCACACCAAAGTCTGATATAGTTATACCATTTCCACATGAATTTGCCACTAGTAGTAATTTTAAATTTTATACGAGTCGCCTTGAAAAAAGTAATTGAACTGAAAGAGAAATGCACTTGAGAAAATTGCATTGTCTCCTAATTTTTGTATCATTAATGTTGAGGTAGCTTAATGCCATCTAACATAATTAGTACCATGAGCTTAAATAGGAATATTGTGGATGCAATTTTCTACTGCTGGTTTTAGTGCAATCTTGAAATGCTATAATTTTAAGAACAGCCTTGGAAAGCCTCGTAAACCATTTTGCAAGCTGATATATAGGTATATAAATACAGAATTTCAAAATTGTGATGCTGAAGCTTTAGTTAACTTATTTGTAAGAAGTGTGAACATTGATCAAAGACCAGCATTATTCAACCTATCTAGACAATTTGCAAACTCTATGCAAAAAGGATGTCAGCTGAGCATGATAAAAATACTACTGTGTATTGTCTTCTCATTTTAGTTATTGTAGGCTGTATAGGTACTTTCCTGCTGGTTTTGATATTTCCTTTAATATGTTTCTAGCTCCAAGAAGATGTTGAGAAACATCTTGGTGATTCCAGTGCAATTCTGAGCCCTGAAGTCAAGTGAGTATAAGGTGCTTGACACACATATTTTTTTATCACTTGTTTATATTCGACCAGAGCATACTTCTTCTTACTCAGTTTTATCTCCCTAAATAAAATAATATGTATAAATTTTATATTGTGTCATGCAATGACACGCAGGAAATTTTTTTATCTTTTAATTCATTCATTCAATTTTGCTCTAGTCCTACTTTTAGTTCTACTTTGAACTCGGTAAATTTGAAATAATGGCCGAAATTAGAATTGAATTAAAATATTACACGATGATAGCCAAACTTTCTTTATAAGCACAAACTTCATCTCTCTGTTTGAAAATCTTGTTTGCAAAATGGTTACATATAAAATGTAATTCTTCAATTATTTATATTTATCTCTTAGTAATGAAAAATGTTAATAACTATAATTAAATTTTATTGCTGTACAATTTTTTCTCACTTGATAATACTTATTTCTGGGCTTCCAAATCACAGTGATTCAAAACTGTACTCTTGTGTTCAGGTCACTTCTGAGCAGCAGCCAAGAATGCCTCATCCAGCAGGCAGAGTTACGTGAAGTACTGGACAGTATAGCACAACGCCGCAAAAATATTCTACAGAAGAGAATGCAGGTTGCTGAGCTCTATGAGCACGTCTGTGACTTGTGGCATCAAAAGGAAAGGAGGGACTTTACCAGGCCCCTTAGGACGGACTCAGAAGAACTAGCATCGTCAGTTGAAATTCATATTTAATTAAAGTAGATAATCGTCATATGAATTTTTATCATGTAGACAAACATAAATTAATGAAAGTTCACAGAATTCTGGCTTTTGGTTTTTTGTTTCTTTGCTGAAAGTTTAAAAAAAAATGTGATTCTTTCTTTGTTTAAAATTGTTTCTTTGCTGAAAGTGTAGATATGATCTCACCCAGGCCAACTATTACACTTGGACATGACAATAATTGATGAATTTGGATTCATTTTCAAAAGATTGATGTTCTCCCATTTCTACAGCTTGCGTCAACGCCTAAAAATCAAAGAAGGCAGGGTTGAAATTATGGCGCACTTATGCCAGGTGCTCTTCCCAGCCATCTTCCCTCGTTGGGGCATGAACCCGCGTATAATTGAGGTGAGAGATGCTTAATTATTTTAATCAATTCTCATGATTATAAATTGCAATTTGAATTGTAAAAAAAAACATTTCCTCCGTGCACTAAAACTCACTGTTTTGATCATGATTTTCCTTTCAATAATATGATTTAAACAAACTCGTAGTTGATTAACGCCCTGTAATTGTATGTCTAGGTGTTGGAGGCTTGTGAACTTGTCTGCAGTGGGCAGATGTCTACACTCGACCAGTGCAAGGCCATTGTTGATCGGCTACATTAAAACTCAAACAGGCTTTTGTTTGAGTGTGGAGCACACAAAAACGTGTGTTCTATTTGTTTGAAATTTATACAAAAAAATCAAGGATTTCTAGTAGTTAAGTGTCCTTTTTGTAGAATATTTGGCTCACTTGATCATACTAGGTTTTCTTAGCCAATCAAATTTTGTATTGGGGAATTTGGTCTGCAATACAGAACCAAATTGCATGGCATTATACAGCATGTTGAATTTCTATATTTCTCCATACACGTGTTTATTATGATGCTCCTCTAGATCGGCAAGGAATTATATGGGCATGGTTGTGATGTTCAGCGTTGTTTAATGAATAAATCACTGGGAAGGTATGAATAAAAACACTGTATAGCCGACTCAAAATCGATCACGAATACGTAATGATGGCTTTGAGTGTCTACCACATACATTCAGCATTCGTCTAGTTGTTATCGAAAGTATCTTTAATTCCACTCCAAATGTGTGCTATTATAAAGGTTATGACTAAATAAATTAGAAATATTTATTTTTAAAAACAATCTTTTTTTTATTAACGCATTGAAGTGAAAGAAGTGAGGGGAAATATGACGTCTATAAATCAAATGTCTCTGTGTGAAGACTCGGAATACTCTTACGTGTTGCTTACAGTTACTGTACGGTATCGCAGTGGTTAGCGCCGCTGTGTGCGCAGTAATATCGCCACCGTGATGAGAGCTTGCCGTGAGTTCAAGCCTTGGCAGCTCAGTTCATTTCTCGGTGTCACTGGCGGGCTGTGTTCGCTAAGCATAGCTTGGGTTGATGTCCTTAAACGAACTCAAGGTACTTGTTACCTGGGGGATCTAAATCATAAAGGTCAGGTATTTCAATCATAACGTTATTGTGTTCAACTGAGGAATATATTCATGAATGACTTCGCTTTTTTGTTCAAAGTTCTTCTCGCAGTGAGGGTGGGAATTTCTTGAAGTGGCCTTTCTCAATGAGATAATCTAAAACATCCTGATGATAAGTAGGGGGCGAATATGACCCGGTCTCTAGCAACTTTCTTAGTTTTTGAGCCTCTAGTTTTGCTCTGTGCCACTCTTCCAGCCATGAACTGTACTCGTGAGACTTAACTTTGCTCGTCCTGTTGGTGCCAGCGCCACCTAATGATTGCATGACAGTTACTGGAGCCTTGCAGTTGTAATGTCGAACATCTGCTGTCGTAGGCGAGTCATCCTCGTTGAGTCGGTGCAGGGTGCGGCACACGCTACACTCAAAATTTTCAATAAAGTTAATTTTATCTTCGTCGTTACCTACACCCCATGCACGATTATCCATCGTATATTTTAGAAGTTTATTACTTATTTTTCCGTCCAGTTTATGTTCAAGATGTTTTTCGTACTGTTTGTCATTTTCCAGCAGACTTTTGAGGTGCTGAGCCAGCTCTTCGGGAGAATTGAATTTTCTGATATCGATGATGGAGTTTGTGTTGGGCATCCAGTCCGACACAGTAGGTGAACCCCAGTACAGCGGAACGCTGCCCAAAGTCAAAGGACGCCACAGCTTCTCAGTGATGTAGTCTTCACATGCTGCGTTCTCTATTGCCAATGCGAACTTGTACCTGAAACAAAATTTGTTGTACTAGCAGTTGATACCGAAACAAGCATAGTAGAGACGTTTGATGCAAACGTCTATACAACGTCTAAATATGCAAACGTTTGATTAATATTTATTGTCATGGAAGTCTTTGTTATGGAAGGTAAAAGTAGTGTTATTTTCGTATATTTTCCACGAAAGACTATGCGGTTGATACATGTTGCAACCGTCAAGAAATTAAATGTCATCTCATTTTTGATCGCAGTAACGGATGTTTATATCTAAATCGACGTGTCAGTACCTGGCAACAAGTGACCGCAGATCTGGGTGGTCCATGCCCTCAACTCCGTTCTTAAGATGGCTCGGCAGTTTCTTGTTGTTCAAGCAACGTCCATATGAGTCCACCTGCTCAGCATCAAACTCGAGAAAATACCGATGTCAAAATTTAGGGTTAAATTATCAAGTGCAAATACATTCAAAACAGTATTATTCGTTGGGGAATTATTCAAAAAAGATTCGCTTGACACGAAAATTCCAGCCTAAGAATTAGTACGCAGCCAGGAAACGATCAATGTATCAGATATGAAATTCTAACTACCTTGATGTGCGTGGCAAGTTCACGAACAAACGTGTCTCTATCTGAAGGCGTGTCGCAATCTGACTGGATGTATATCACGGGTGCGAGTCCGTCTTGTAGAAATGAATTTTTGTTGCTTGTGGAAATGAATTCATCCAACCTTGTCAACTGCTTCAAGTCTCTTAAATACTGCAAGGTAATGGGTTCCGTAGAAAATCTGCTGAACGTTGAAGTAAAATTAAACAGATTTAACACTTCTTCGTGACACAGAATTGGATTATTTTTTGGAGATTCTTCGTGAAGCAGTGACCATATTTGACTATTTCTGCTAAAAACTGGGAGGTTTTCAGTCCTAAAATCACTTCCGTAAAATAAAACTGCTGTTTTATTCACGTGTAGGTTAGACAAATAACTTTTATCTGCTGTAAAAAAACATTTAAGTTGCCCGCATGTTTTGTATTCACTGAAAACACCAGTAAACGGAGTCCACCACACAAGCGTTGGATTCAAATTATCCCGCCAGATTAGCTCGCCATTTTGGTCCATTTCTGCTTGAACTTGGACTAACTGCATTACTACAGCAAACAATGGGCATATGAAAAGACAGAGCGCTTTATTGCCCATTGTTATTCTCAATAATCATTCAAACTTTATCTCTTCCAAAATAGAAGGGGTCTGTAGCACAGTTACTTCATATACGGTTTTAATTGACCAAGAAGTTCTAGAGACGCTCTTCAACTAAAGGCAACATATAGACTGGGTAATTTTTTTATCTCGTGTAGGACGAAACGAAATCCTTATATTTTCTTTTTTGTGCTAAAATGTTGGAATGAAGTATCTCACGTGGCTCTCGTCATTAATAGATAATTGTCAACCAAGGCACGACGTTCGAGACAGTCTCAACTTCAACTCGGGCAAATGCTCGTTTCGTATGATTTGAAAAAATATACCAATTTTGTTTTTAAAGTCCGTTATTCCACTCAAAAGTGAGTGAAATGCAATGAGTTTATCCTCAAGTGTTGAAATGAATTGGGCTGATAACTGTTATCTCGTCAGTATATAGATATTAGTATTGTATATTTTCAGAATGACTTGAACTGTTCAAGAGAATAAATTTGAGTACGTATGCTATAATTTTAGGAAATTTTCGTCAAGTTGAAATATAGTGAATATTGTCTAATTTTACTTTACACTGACACGTAAAAAATTTAAACTGTTTTGCTGACGCGCCGCAGTGGATGATAATCTCATCCCGTATCCTTCTTCCCTGAAGTAGACGTGGAATAGCCAGACGATGTGTCGTCCCTTGACCCTAGCTCCCTACTACCTCTTCTAGTGCTGAACTTCAGCTGATGGAAGTATGTCATACAAATGCTTACAAGCCTGTCTGACGTAAAGGCCCATAAAACGGTGAGATATTTTTCTTTTATCTGCTGCTAAAATATAAGTAACAAGCCCATAAAGTATAAAAATGAGTTTTTTAAACTTTATGATGAATTACAAATTGAGCCTTTACCTTAAGCCTTAGGCTTAAGGCTTTAACTTGAGGGCTTCTGGCATAGTGGCAAAGCAGTTTTTAGATTCAGTTCAATGAGTTCATTTTTGACTTCCGCATATCTATGTAGCATAAAGTAAGTTAAGAAATTGTACATTTCCTACCTCTACAAAGTCTCTGAAAAAAATGTGTGAAAAGTGAGATTTTGGAAATGTACTAGCCAGTAGCCACTAGGCCAGGGTAAACGCGGTATATCCCGACATCGTGGGTAATTCCGTCACCTCTCTAGTTTTTCCTTTATATTAAGCTTTGTTTTAGTTCCATGCGTTTGTTGATGGTTGAAATGGTGACGTCATACTCACATACTGCATACATTTGCGCGTCGAACTAATGCCAAAACACTAGGTCTTGGCCATCTAGCGGGAAAATATTGAGATCCAAAGTGAGACAATGCACTCTACCCAGTGAGATCATTGAAAAATGTGTCAAATTTGACAGTTGACCTTGCTCTACCAAACAGTGAATAACTTTGTATAGGAAGAATATTATGGTTTGAGACCTTTAAATACGTCTGTGAACAGTGTGGAATTCTGTATAGTTAATATATTCTCATGTTAATATATGAAAACGTATTGAAAAATCAACCCTACCACCGCGTTACACCACCTCACCGGTATTATTGCAGATTAACTACATCCAAAAAAAAGGGTGTTTTTTTTTTAATTATATGTTTTTTGGGGTGTAGATTACGAATCTGAAATCCATTTTTGGCGGTCGGCATCGGAAAACCGATTTTTTTCGCGACTTACTAATATGGGGGTTACGTAACTTACGTTACCCACTCACCTTTATTTACTAACATGGGGGTTACGTAACTTACGTTACCCACTCACCTTCTTGTGGACTAAAAAGTAGAAAATAAATTATGGTTCGCCCCAAAAAAACGTGGGTCGGGCTGTACGTTCACCATCAAATTTCCAAAATTTAAGTGCTGTGTGCTTTTCGCTTTCATCATAAATCTGCCAGACACACGTTTTTTTGGGGCGAACCATAATTTATTTTCTACTTTTTAGTCCACAAGAAAAAGGTGTTTTTTTAAAAAGTTTTTTAAGTATTTTATTATGTTTTACCTTCCCTACATGGATGTCTACTCTAATCTACCAATCTCAAAAATTATCCACATATACATATAAAAAATCAGTCTTTTGTTTGTATATGAGATTGGTAGATTAAAGTAGATATCCATGTAGGGAAGATGAAACGCAAAAATAACTGTGCAAAAATAACTGTAAGCAAACTGATACATGAAATAAAATGCTTAAAAAAAAACTTTTTAAAAAAACACGTTTTTCTTGTGGACTAAAAAGTAGAAATAAATTGTGGCTCGCCCCAAAAAACGTGTGTCGGGCAGATTTATGATTAAAACGAAAAGCACACAACACACGAATTTTGGAAATTTGATGGTGAACGTACAGCCCGACCCACGTTTTTTGGGGCGAGCCATAATTTATTTTCTACTTTTTAGTCCACAAGAAAAACGTGGTTTTTTTAAAAGTTTTTTTTTAAAGTATTTTATGTATGAAAATGCTGGTATGGTATCCATGATACTTTACTGGTTTATTTATGGGACTCAAAAATGAACTTGAGCACGGGTCTAAAAAACTCATTGCTTTGCCACTATGAATTCATACAGTTTTATACTTTTATTGAAAGCTACCAGTCTACTTGTAATTACCAACTTACCAATCATAATTATCATGGTATCATAAGGATGGCAAATCACTCTGATTTGCCATCCCTGCATCTCTGGGCCCAGCGCCATAGCATATTTTTTTTAACTCTGTGGCTCCAATAGAAATGGTCTATTTCATTATGAAGGTTGAACTTATTGAAGTACTAATTTCAAGGTAGCAGCTAATTTATAGTTATTAGGTAACATTTAATAATCATAACTTTTATCATAATCATATCATATAGTGATATTAGGGCTAAATAATAAGCCTGGTGTTCTTATATTCTTGTCCTTTTTGTGACTTGTTATGATGAGGCCAAAGTTCAGGAGTAGAAAACTTTTAACATCAAAGTTGCTGGAGTAGTCAAAGCACTTCTATGTTGCTGTCCATCAATTCCAATAGAGATTAGAATTTACAAACAATGTAGGGCTTCACAGAAATAGTAGAAGTTTAGTGAAACAGCTATATAATTATTATGTCGACATTGAATGGTGCAATGAAAGTTTTGATGTGACTTCTCACCAGTCACCACTACTGTAAGATTTTTATTGAAAAGTGGCAGCAATCAGCTAGTTTTTACCACGTTTTTCTTGACTTCGTTTCGTGTCCGTCTGTGATGATCAAATCTTGCGATTTACCGGTCCAGACACCTACTGTGTGTTCACTCACAGCTGATGCTGTGCATCTTGTTGAACACTACTTACTGTACTGTGTGCCGTCAGCATATAGTATTATCTGTGTATTGCCTTCAGCATATAGTGTTGTCTGTGTATTGCCTTCAGCATATAGTGTCATTTGCGTGTTGCCTTCAGCATATTGTGTCCTAAGCTTATTGTGCCTTCAGCATATTGTTTATTTATAAAGTTACGTATATTTTCAGTTCCGTGTTTGTATATTTTCAGTTCCGCCTATTATTCGTAGTTATCTGTTCATGTTATAAACTGTTAATTAGTTGAAGTGTTCTGTTACCTAGTCATTATTGTTGTAGTTGTCTCTGGTTAATAGATACTTGTTTATTTGGCTTTCATTTTTCCTTTGTTGAGGTTCGGCGGTAGTCGTGGGCTCAAATTTATCGAATCCATTTGGAGTCGTCCTGATTTGAACTTTACATGACGTTCTTCTAAAATAAATTTCTAGATTTTTACTTTGACAAAATTTCAATATAAAGGAAAGTCATAGATTATTGATGGATAATTAAATACATATCAAGTATTATAAGTTTTCTGTCTCATGTCCCTTGACAAAATGTATCTGCGCGCTGCACGGACGTTTGCGTGCGCAAGCTGGGATGGCCAGAAATTGCGCCGACTGTGCGCAGCAATGGCTTAAAAAAGTCCTAATGCATGGGAAAATTCCCCCAAAAACATACATCATCCTGAGTGTGGGTCCTGTACTCCTGTTAGCTTGCAGGTACAGAAAAGTGCTATACGGCTGCTGATATGAAGCTTGCACCTTGCAGTGAACAAGGTCATTGTAAAAGCTCAATGGCATTTACATGGATACGGTAATAGCACATCAATAAAAGAAAAACCAGTAAAAATCACAGAAAAGGTCATTTATTCTACATCTACATCGTCTACAATTCTACAAAGGAAAAGGAGAATTTCAGATTACTGTTAGTAATAAATGAGTACACTCTCCATGAATCAAATGTTTCAAAATTAAGTTTTATTTCAAGTTTCCCAGATTACCCTGTCCCAGGAATAATTTGAGATGCTTTTATTTTGCATCTGGTACCTCACGAATAGCATATGGAATTTTTTTAAGGTGCCATGTAATAGCCCTTGCAAAGAGCTATAAAATGAGCCCAAACTTGTTTTATGAAATGTTTCATGGTAAAAAGTTATTAACAAAAAACTCTCAAGACCATCCCTTATTACCCTGTTTGACGGTACTTTAGTGGTCTAATTATAGGACTCAAAAATAAACTTGAGGGAGTGTCTAAAAAATTCTTTGCTCTGCCGCTATCATAACTATGTATCCATGATACTTTGCTGGTCTACTTGAACTTAAATAGCATTATAGGACTTAAAATTGAACTTGACAACTAGTCTAAAAAGTTCTCTGCTGTGCCACTATGGCCTGGCCAGCTTTGCCTTTAGTATTTAGGTCACTGCCCACTGTCCTGTGGCTCAGTGGCTGAAGTCTGAAGAATAAAAGTAAATTTTGAATTAAAAATTTTACTTAAATATTGTGGCTTAAAACAACAAAATCATATATTTTATGTAAATTTGGAATTCTGTGGCTTGATGTGTGGCTTAATTAATCATGAAATTCTGTGGCTCTATTAATCAAGCTGTCACATGGTGACAACCCTCAGATTTTTTAGAATCAGTTCATTTTTAATTTCCTTATTTACTTGAGATTTCAACTAATTTTTTATTACCAGGTTTTTCTTAGCTCGCTTTCGTGTCCGTCTGTGATGATCAAATCTTGCGATCAATATTTCACCAACTTTCCCGCTAGCTAGCGCTCTGAAACTTTTAGGGAAGCTCAGCTCCCGATGACAATACAATAATCAATAATTTGTTGCACGTTTCCAGGCGTATTTATTCATGAAATGCATGGAATTTATTCAATGTACCCCCTCAAATAAAATTTTCTACAGAACTTCGAAAAGAATTTTCTTTCGTGCATTTGCGTGGCCAACTGAAATAAAAGGAATATTGTGTAGGACTAAAAAGGAGAAAATAAAATACTTAAAAAAAACCTTTTTCAAAAACCACATTTTTCTTGTGGACAAAAAGTAGAAAATAAATTATGGCTCGCTTAAAAAACGTGGGTCGGGCAGATTAATGATTAAAGCGAAAAGCACACAACATACGAATTTTGGAAATTTGATGGTGAACGTACAGCCCGACCCACGTTTTTTTCTTCTCACCAGTCACCACTACTGTAAGATTTTTATTGAAAAGTGGCAGCAATCAGCTAGTTTTTACCACGTTTTTCTTGACTTTGTTTCGTGTCCATCTGTCATCAAAAATTCAAACCTTAATTTAGAGCACTTCTAAACATCCTAGTAAGTTGAAATTTGGCATGCATGCTTATGCTGCCTAACAATTCAAGATTTGATCATCATAAATAATAATTAAAAAAAATGTTTTTTTAATTTTTAAAAATAAAAAAAAATTAAAATTCACGGTTTGGAATTAAGTTTTTTCTCGAGCATCCACACTTGCCAACCCTGGAAATTGATTTGAATTGCTAAAATTGCTAACTAAAAAGTAGTAAATAAATAAATATAAAAAATATTTTTGAAAACCACATTTTTCTGGTTTTTACAAAACTAAAAATAGTGAAATAAAACAAAATAAAATTTTTAAAAACCACATTTTCTTAACAGATATAAAAACATTTACTCTTACAGAACATTACATAACATTTTACATAACTTAAATGTTATGTAAGAGTGAATGTTTTTCTTTTTTGTCTGTTAAGAAAACGTGGTTTTTAAGTTTTTTTATTTGTTTTATTTAAACTCTTCCTCAAGTTCAATTTTTAGTTTGATAAGTAGTCCAGCGAAGTATCAAGGATACCAGCATTATCATACATAAGAAATTGGTTGAAATCTGGACTAAATGAAAAAATTAGGAGTGAACTGATTCTTAAAAATCATTGGTTTGCCACTATAGTGGCAAGTTGAGTGCAGTTTTCTGAGTGGCAAATCCTGTGTTGAAAGTATTTTTTACTAGAATATTTGGCTTCAAAATTACATAATTTCCATGCATGGGAAATCTCAAGGCTTCAAATTCATGTAACTTGAATTAATTTCAAATTAAATAACTTGTAATTATGCTAGAAATTGAATTGGAACTTTTGCTGTTCAGTAATATGTATATGCATTCATAATTTTGATACTAAAAATCTTTTTCATTAGTCATGTAGAGAGCATTATAACATGCTTACTTTTTTAGATTGAAATAAAAATTTTGTTGTTGTAATTTCTCTATTCCAGTTCATGATCTTCATATTGGCTTCCATGGCTTTAAAAATGGAATAGAGACTTAGAAACTCATGACTTTGAAAATCCAGTCATAGTTTTGAGGATAGATTTTTTGTATGCCTATGCATATCATACTTCTGACCATTATTTTGCATTTTACTCATAAATGCATAATGACCTATTCAACATCTTAGAATAAATTTCTTTAAGAAAATATAACTCAGTACTCACTGCAGTGAGTGACAGAGCGCGCGTTTTCTTGCTGACAAAAACGTGAAGTCATGGACAGACAGACTGAAATGACTAGCACAATGGGGCATTTTTTCCATAAATGAGAAAATGTGCCAAAAAGGAATTACAAGTGATTTTTGCTGGTTAACATGCCAAGTTTAATTGAAAACAGCATGATTGAATAATTTAAAAATGCGCCAAAAAGGAATTACAAGTGATTTTTGCTGGTTAACATGCCAAGTTTCATTGAAAACAGCATGATTGAATAATTTAATGGTTATTTAAAGCAGCTCAGAGAGTTAAAAATATTTGAGGGTGATGAATTGACAACAGATTTAACTGGTGTGGCTTTATAGTTTGTTATGAACATAGCTTGTTTAGTTCTTCACTCTTATGAATTGCAATTTATTCCTTACAGGTGCAGAGGCTGCTTGCATATTTCAGAATGGACTTGCTGCTTCCAGTGTTTCAGCTTCTCTATTTTGTTGCTCACTTTCTTGTGAGTGTTCTGCAAGCTGTGTATGGAACCTATATGGATGTACTACAAATCACCCATTTCTTATACCAGAAGCTCACCCATACTGTACATGGTGAGTAAATAGTCTTCAATCACTTGTAAGGTTTCAGTCACTTTCACCTGAAACACATGAGAATTCTTCATGGGCATAATGCAATTAACAGCTTCAAATTGAAAACATTCATTCAGCCCTTTAATTTTGTCTCTTGACTTGATATTGAGTCCCTACAAAGTTAGAACCAGTTCTGAAAATGTCCCAAGAATATTAAGTGAATTTGCATGAATTTATATTTTTAGGATTTGTATGAATTATTAACAGCTTCAAATATGAATTGAAAAAATATGAATTATTTAAATTTGAAACTAATCTGCTCTATTTTTGTATCTTATGATGTGGGAGCCTAATTGAAATAAATGAAGGTTTTTCAAAGTGATCTCAAATGAGAGTTAATCTATGCTTAATCCTGTAGTTTTGAGCCTCTAATTGTACATTTTTACTGTAACTCACAGAAGATTAAATTTTTCTTAAATGCAACATTTTCAGCACAAGAACAATATAATGAGGGAAAAGGCAAACTACCAGAACACCCGGCAGTGGTTTTCCTTCCTGGTCATTATTTGGCAGCACAACTGCCACAGCTTGTCAGTCTAATGACTGCCTTTGTTAAAGCTGGGGCTAAACAGATAACTCTTTACGATCCAGCTGGTAAGATCTGCTATGATTAAATATCCATATTCCGGTGTTTATAAGGTGCCAAATTACCATATTTAATTGATTTACACATTTTTTATGAGGATGCATTGGGATATTGGGCAGGGTGGCCCAGTGGTTAAAGTTCAGAGTACTAAGATTGGCGCAGAGAGGCGCGGGTTCGATCCCAGCTCTGTGCGCCAGTTTCTGGTCAGAATCGGCGAGGAGGCCGGGCGGTTAAGCACAGCTGAATTGTAGCAGTGAGTTGCGAGTTCGAGACCTCAAAATGCTGTGAATGTTCTGCGATGTTAAGAATCGGCGACAGGCCTACGGCCTAATAAACGCCGAAACCGCTATTATTATTATTATTAGCTTTTGCTTCTTAATCTATTATAGTGTTGTAAGCCTACTCTCAGTGAATCTGGAGTAAATTGAAGAATGGCACCTTCAATACCTAACAATTGAATGATTATTCACTAAATTATGCATAATTTCATTGTATTTTATTTATCCTTTAATATCCTGTGAGTTTTATTCCAGTAACCAAACAAACTTCTTCTGACGTTTTCTGTTCCCATCCTACAATGCAGTACCAAACATATATACTTGAGGAAACAAGCCTAATATCATTTATTAATGACAAATTTACCAAAAATTTCATTTTCAGGAAAAATTGAAGAACAGCAAGATGAACTTTTACTGTGCCTGACGCGGAGCTTGCCCGGCAGCTTATTTCTTCTCCTCCAGCATCCATTAGAGCAAATAAATGAAGAACCCCAAAAAGAACAGGTATTTTAATATCCTCAGCAACTCTTAACTTGTATTGACTGCATTTAACAGGAATCATCGGGCTTATCCTCTAGTAATACCGAAAAACTGTTTATATTTTATTTCCTACTCTTAGCTTTGAACGAAGAACACTATACACATTTTTCAACAAATTGCTCTGATAGAAAATGAACATCACTCAAATTTATCCGTGAATTATGCTCACACTTGAAGCAACATGTAAATACCGATTCTCATTATTTATTTTTTTTTTCATCGGGTGTTCAGCACAGAGCGAACGCATTACTAGATAATCAAAAATTATTTCTTGGTTATGGAAGTTTTAATCTTCTACACTTACAGGCCCATGCCCGGTCTTTGGTGAAAGGAGCAACAGCCCAGACGCCTGTAGTATACGTGAGCATCGTCAACTGTGACAGCGGCGTGCGACATCTATTGAACTGCGTCAGAAAATTGGCTCGTCAGCCCCACAGCTCCCTGACGAATCTTAGTCCGCATGACTTAGACTCAGTTTTGGCTGTCAGACAAGTGTCTAATATTGAGTGTCATGACGAAATGAGTAACTATTGCAGTGAAGAAACTAGTAGACTGGTATCAAATCCTTCATGTAACGAAAGATATCTAAAGAACCCTAGACGTTGCGCTCAGAGTGCAGTTTCATGTTCTTTTGTTGAACAAAAATCGTTATCATGCATGCATTTAGTGAGACAACAAGACCCAGACATGATGATTGTAATTGGAGACTACATGAGCAGTGGCGGGTTTCCTCCTTGGGGATTACGGCTTACAGAATTCGCACAAACGTCAAGCCTGGGACGCATAGATTCTGCCGAGCTTCAGAATTTATTTCGTTCATATGCTGGAATAGAAAAGCGGTTTGGCAGGTAACTTCCTCTCGGATATTAAATGTCATGGTTGAATGTACAACTCTTTGCCTCGTTTGTTTTTATGTTGCGTTTGATTTGATAACAGCGTCAATATTGGTTGAAGATTTTTTGGCTAGAAATCAAATTTAAATATTGGCTCACAACGGTTCAAAAAATTAATGTGCAATTTCCTTGCTCCTTCTCTGCACCACCACTGCAAAACTCTTGAATTTTCAAATAATTTTGACGTAAGGCTGGAAATTTATTGCGTGTACTAGCTTCTTATGTTAATTTTCACTCGTTTCGTTACAACGAAAAACATCCCAACATCCGCCGATGTACTATTTGATATCGACGGCATGAGGAAAATCTCACGGAAAATTCGTTTGAACGTGAATCGTGTGCAATAAGTCACGGGCCTATAGGTAGATAAAAACTTCGTAATTCTCAGTGAGTGATGCTGCTACTTACATTCCTTAGAATCGTTGTAAGTTGAAGAATACTTTCCAATAATAAAAATATACAGATTGACTTTCTCCTTGATACCTACGTGTGGAACTCAGCACCTGCACAATAGATGACAGCTTTTTCGTGCTGTCAACTCACGATTTCACGAAAATGAAATTGATACAAAAAAATCCTCAGCATCTGTTTATTAACTTAGGAGTTGCTGTTGGGGCCTCGTTTCTTGCCGAAGCTCTGTACGACAGTAACGAAGCGGCGGTTATATTGGATACGTCGCTTGGCACGGCCGGTCTTGCTCTTCTTCTTTTCCTTCTTGTCCACCTTGGGAGTCTGACCTTTGACTTTACCAGCACGTGACAGCGAACCGTGCACCTTGCCTGTCGAGAATAACCCACTAGTGACACAGCTCCTTATGCCATATGTATGAAGGATCTTCAAACAAGAGCAAATCACTACATAGAAAAATACATTTTCTTGAATATTCAAGGACAGCAAATATAATAGGCCTATTATAAAGCTGATATTTCTCACAGGGCTCTGTTATGACAAGCTTACCTCCAAGAAGAGCAACATTGCAGTCTAGGGTGTCAGTAGTGAGGAAACTGACGGGCATGGCCTCATCCTCTAGGGGAGCACCATGAGCAAAGAGGCGGATCTGAAGAAAAGTCACATTTGAGCACAAAGCATTGGTCCCATCAAAATAGATGAAATTAAGAAAACAATATGGTATACGATACACTTGTCCTGAATAGATGATAAATTAAATAAATCAGAACAAATTTGGGGCGAGATTATACTCACTAATTACTTCAAGTAATTTACAAAATGGAATAGATAATTGATCTGCCATGTAGGAGGCAATGCACGACAGAATAATCAGAACAAAATTGGGACTGCAATTAGCAATATTTATTGTTTTTCTAAGCAAATAATAAATGCACTGGGTGAATAATTACCTCCTCCTGGTCAGCTCCTTCAACATCGCTGAGGAAGGTCTTGACATCAGCAAGGATGGCTCCCTCAGGGGCGTTGTACACATGCAGGGAAGTGCCTCGAAGGAAAAGCTGCATCTTGAACTGCAAACAAATGTAGAAGTTAGTGAACAGTATAAAATGCATGATATTTCCGAACTTAAGCTCAGAGTATCATAATCGGTCTCAAGCAACATGCAGAAAATGCTTGGTTGCACTATTTAATTGCAATACAGTTACGAGTTAATTGTGTACAGTTACATTAATTTATTTCAATCCCTCAGGGAGATAAACTATTGAGGTGTTGTGAGAGCTAATCCCCTAATTCATTCCTTCAATTTTTACCTTGCTTTACTGCTTGCTTCTGGCCATTTGTTTCCCCAAGCACAGAATTCAGCAGCTATGGACCCAATGCAATCAGCAGTATCAAATCCAAGTAATGATTTGCTTGCTACAACTCCTACTTATGAATTTGATTCAAGCTGCAAAGTGCTGCATGTAGTAATTGACAAATGTGAAGGAGGAGAATGTGTGACTACTTTGGCAGGCTGACTTTGGCAACAGGTATTACACCCAGAGGTGGGCAGTAGCGCGCTACATGTAGCGGCCGCTACTAGCGGCCGCTACATTTTCAGTAGCGGTAGCGGCTCTACATTTAAGGCAATGTAGCGGTAGCGGTAGCGCCCGCTACATATTTAAGTAGCGATACGAGGTTTTGCCGCTACAGCGCTACCGCTACATTTATAGATAAAGCCTTTAGA